TGGATAAAGAGCGGGGGGGGGGGGGGGGGGGGGACACACACAAAATGAAGCCGAGACAAAGCCGGGCGCTAGTTCTGCACCCTTAAAAGAAAAGTGCGGCCCGGAGAAAAAAGCGGGGAGGGGGGGAGGGAGTGAGAGGGCGGATAGGCAGGAGGTTAGCAGGGAGATCTCGGCGACCGCTCTTGGAAGGGACCCACGGGACTCCCTCCCGAGAGGCTTCGTCCCTGGCCCTCAAACAATAAAGGCCGGCGCACGCGAGCGAGCGAGCGAGCAGCGCACCCGGGCCGGGGACGGCGTTGCTTCCTGCGCCCGACCGACTCCGATTCCACGGCGACCCTCCCGGCTCCCGGGCTGTGGGATGACGAAAGAGCTGCGTCCCCAGCGGAAGGATTTCAGCGGGCGGGCAGCGTCCCTGCCACGGCGGTGGCGGAAAGGAGTTTCGGTGGCGGGGAGGGGGGGGGGAAAGGAGGAGCAGGAGACAGGCACCGCGCGTTCACCGTCTTCCCTCGCGGGCGGGTCTTTGCTCTCCTCACCTCTCTTTCCAGCGCCTCCCGCTCTCCCTGTCGGCGCCGAAGAGGTTAACAGGAAGGTTCGAGGATCCTCGTCCCATTCATTTTCTCACTTGCTTTGTCTCCCGCTACCGCGACACTGAACTCCGACTCCCCCGGCTCGGACGCCCCGGCTCGTACTACGCATGTGCAGCGTTCGGGGCGGCAGCAGCAGCAGCAGCAGCAGCAACAGCGGCGGCGGCGGCAGCAGCAATAGCGGCGAGGGAAGGCGGAGCCAAGGGCATGGCACGCAAATCCGAGCGGCAAGCCCAGACGGCGAGAGAGGCGCGACGCGACCTCCGTTGGCCGGGTGAAAGGCGTCACGCGCACGCGATCTTCCATCGGCGCAGCGGTGCGCGTCATCGGGACGTCGCGTGCTGTCGTCATGGGTTGGAAGGAGGGGGGCAGGCAAAAGGGAAGAGCGGGGCGACAAAATGGTTGCCGCTGAGGAAGCGGGAGCGAATTGGGGTGGGGGGGGGGGGGG